CTAAATTTATATTTGACATGTATGATATTACCATCGGCATTTTTTAAATTCAAATATCTAGATTAAACAGTTAGTAACAAAACAGGAATAACGAGCAAACACAGTTCAGGGGACATCTTACTATAAGGAATCAACTCAAAGGAAAAAACAATAAAATCATATATAAACCAATAATGTATTAAAATACAGCATGTACAAAATTTTTAAACTGCTTAATGTTCACTTACCGGGCCACCTGGGCGAAGACTAAGCAAAGCCGTTCGAGATGAGACCGTATTAATTTGATTAACAATAGTATTAGGTGAGGATAATGCTGTACCTTGTGGAAGTAAGACTTGAGGAAGGCTCCCAGCCTGCGGTTTTTGAGTTTGGGCCAGCTATTATAAAGAATATAAATCGTATTTTCAAGAATTATTAGAAAAAAATAAAATATAAAGTTGACTGATGGATTTACCAGTTGCTGTACGCTAATTCCGGTAGCTGCCTTAACATTTGTACCGATTACTCCAGGAGTTAATGGCTTTGAAACAACTCTAACCCCCTGTTGTTGTTGCTGATGACTTATCTGAAATGCATTTGTACTAATTGCAGGGATTATTGACGGTGAAGATGGAATAGTAGGCAGAGTGGCCGGAGCAATTTTTTGTGTCTTATTTGTGTCTAACGTATTTTCTGGACGCACAGCTATCGGCTTGGGTTGAGGTGGGGGAGACTTAATTAAATCTGGGTGATAATCTTCAGGGTCCATAAGAGAACCGCTTGATAAAGAATCAATAACCCAATCAGGTGTGATCATGACAATTGACTTCTTTGCAGAAAGGTTAACATCACTTGCCGGCGATTCGAGATTGAGTCTTTGAGTGCAAAATTTGTACATAAGCTAAAAAGTGTAAAATTTTGAAATTTTGTCCAGGTATATAAAATCGATATGCAATAGAATATAAGACTAATAATTAATTCTATGTATGGACAAATAACTAGACATACTCCTTGCGGCTTCCCAACAATAAGGTGTGTGACGAGGCTATCC